GCCTTGGCCCCCACCTGAATCTCCTTTTCTCAGCTCCCTGGGAGACATACATACAACAATAATTTATCTCCCTTTGTAGGCAACGGGGACTCCTTGTAATGAATTCAAACCCTGAGTCATGTGACTGCCAGCAACAAGGCTGGGCTCAGTTTAGTGGTGTGGTGTGAGACCTCATGACCTGCCTTTTGACACGCGGCATCTTAGCCACAATTTCTCTCTAGACTTAAATGACTTGTCTGAAGAAGGGGAAGGAGTCCAGGTCAGCGTCTCCAGGCAGAAGCTTCTGCCCTTCTCCCAAGAAGGCCCATGGTCTAGTTCTCAGAGACAATGCATTTACTTTTCCTCATGATTCTCAGAAGCCTTTGCCTCAGCACTCCTCTAGCTTCTCAAGGTGAGAGGTTACTTATGCAGGAATGGTTGGAACCTACTGGGTTAGATGTGAATAAAATCTAGGGTGAGGGAAATGCACCACGATAAGTTCAGAATGAGGACTTACTCTGTGGAGGGGCCAACAGGTCCTCGAATCCACAGCCCCAAGGGTGTGGTATCAAACAGGTCGTTTTCAGTCGAAATGGTTCAGGATTTTCAAAGGATTTTAGGGGTTTGGGGATGTGGCTCAGTGGTAGAATGCATGCCTAACAGATGCCACATGGCTGTAGTTGGGTGAAAACCCAGGCGCTGGGGGATACGGAAATGGATCAGCAGTGAAAAGCACCTGCTGTTCTTGTAGAAGACCCGAGTTCAGTTCTCAGCACCTAGGTCAGGTGGTTCCCAGTCACCTGTAATGCCAGCTCTAGAGACATTAGCTGCCTCTAGCCTCCACAGGGACCTGCATTCAGGTGCACACAACCCCACACAAGTACACATACTTTTGAAAAAGAATAATCAATTTAGACCTGGGAAGGTGGATCCTGCCTTTAATTCCAGCACTTAGGAGGAAGAGGCAGGTGGATCTCTGCGAGTTCCAGGCCTGCCTCATCTACTTAGTGAGCTCCAGGCCAGCCAAGGCTACATAGTAAGACCTTGTCTAAAAACAATTTTTATAATTAAAAACAAAATACATAAATCTTAGAAAAAAAACAACCAACAAATGTATATTGATTCTGAGACAACAGTTAATTTTGCTAATTTGTTACCTGTAAGAACAGGGGATGTCAAGGGACTTTATTGCCCTCAAAGAGAAAAACCCACAGTCTACAATTCTGTCCCCAGGGTGAGAGTAGGGACTTCCTGATTCCTTAAGGAAAGGCAAGGAAGGGGACACTCCCCTCATGTTACTAGTGGTCTCCCTCCTCTGTACCCTCACAAAAATTCCCCAACTACCCTGTAGGTTCTTCCTCTCCCGTTTCAGCCTGCTAGGAGGGTCTAGAGATGGATGACTTACATGTGTTCCTCAAAGATTTGTGTACTGCAAGCTCGGTCCCTAATGAAATGGTATTGAGGTGGGGGGGGTCTTTCTCAAGAGCTAAAGTCTAAGGGGGTGGGGAAGTTAGAGCCCTGGCTGCTCTTCCAGAGGACCAGGGTTCAATTCCCAGCACCCACATGGAGGCTCACAACCAGCAGTTACTCCAGGTCCAGAGGATCCAATGCCCTCTATGGCCTCTGTGGACACCAGGCATGAAGGTGGTGCACACACATACATGTAGGCAAAACACCCATAGAACATAATAAATTAATAGTTAAAATTTTATTAAGAGGTAGAGTCTAGGGGCAGGGGAGACTGCTCAGTCAGTAAAGCGCCTGCCTTGCAAGTATGTGAATCAGAGTTCTATCCCTAGAACCCAGTTTCCTGGTCTACAAACTTACACAGAGAAACCCTAACTCAAAAACCCCCCAAAACAAACAAACAAACAAACAAATAAATAGTGATAATGCATGTGCATACCCACACAAATGAGTACCTACTCCACAAGAGCATGCGTGTGCGCATGCCTACACACACACACACACACACACACACACACACACACACACACAGAATGAGGGGGGTGGTTTCCAGAGGCACTTCCTCTCAGAAATGTATTAATGCTGGTCCAGCAGATCAGGCTGTGAGTGTCTCTCAGGAGTGAGCCTGGCCCATCCTCCACCTTTTTAAGTAAAGCAGGCAAAAAAGAAAAAGAAGAAAGAAGGAAGGAAGGAAGGAAGGAAGGAAGGAAGGAAGGAAGGAAGAAAGAAAGAAAGAAAGAAAGAAAGAAAGAAAGAAAGAAAGAAAGAAAGAAAGAGAAATCACTAGCCACTTCTCCCTCTGACTCTGCAAACCTTGGCCACTCACCGTTAGGATATTGTACTCTCCTGCTGCAAAAGTACTGCTGGAAGACACAAGCCCCGTGACAGGGTCAATTCTGAAGCCCTCCTCATCACTCTCCTCAATGCTGTAGGTGATGCTGCCATTGAGACCTTCATCTGGGTCTGAAGCCACCAGACTGTACACAGGCCCTGCGGACAATGGGCTCAGTCTCTCAGGAAGGCGGACATTGAAGAGCTTGTGGGAGAACATGGGTGGGTTGTCATTGACATCCAAGATGCACACCACCACTCTGGAGGTGGACTTTAGCGGGGGCTCCCCATTATCCAGCACAGTCACCTGTAGACAGAATGGTGTGTGAGCTCCTGTGATGCCACTGGAAGCAGTGCCTAGTACTATCATGCTGTTAGAGCTGATTGCTGTTACTGCAATAATCTGACTTTGGGGCAGCAAGAACAGAAGTGAACCAGAGAGAACCAGAAGACGTCATTGTTAGAACCTGCTGTGAAAGCCTCACCTTCACATAGAACAATCATGGCTACTACATTAACAGGAAGCTGGAACGGAAGGAATTTCGAGATGCTGTCATAGATATTTTGTCCCCACATAGCCACTTTAGCAATGCTGGTAAAGTTGTCATCTGTGAGATGATGCTTCTTTTACTATCTCAGTTCTAGCAATGCCCATAGCAAATCCAACATAGATCCAGGAGACAAAAACATTTATCCCGGCCCCACATGGATCATAGTAAAGGGCCATTAAGTGGTTTGCTCTCCCCAAGTCAGGAGGAATGAGCTAGAAACTAGACCTGAAAAGCAAATACTCCCACTCCCAATACTTCCTTCAGGCATTACTAGTTAACCGAGACTTCCTGCCCTGCCTGGATATGGTTTCAGATTCCTTCCCTCCTCAGCACTGAATAGCTAGTGAAGACCTAAGAATCCTTACCACCAGCCACAGGAAGACTCAACTGAAATAGGTCATCCTGTCCTCCCTCAGCCTTACACCCCAGTCCTAGCCACTGTGCTGGAGCCATGTAGCTGGCTACCTACAGCCCAGTCTCCTGGGGTTTCAAAAGGCAGTACCTGGCCTCCCCACCACTTACCTCCAGGACATGTTCATCTTTGTTCTCTCGGTCTAGCTGTCTGGCAGTGGTCAGGACACCTGGAAAGGGATGGATGCAAAGAGATATAAACAAGGGGCTCCTAGGGCCTTGTTACTATGTTAGGCTCAATATTACACACAACTCTCAGGTGGGAGTCCTGGTGTTTTTGGAAACTTTTAGAGCTCTGGAGAAATGGAAGGGATGGTGATGAGGTGGTGGACATGAAGAGGGAATTTGCTAACTGAAATTCCCACCTAAGTCCACTTTCACCATGAGGCAGGGGTGATGGGTCCAAAACTCAGCAACTCTTCCTGCCTCAGCCTCCTGAATGCTGAGATTATAGGCATGCGACACTACACCCAGTCCCTAGCCATAGAGAGTGGGATTTGTAGATGGGCTTTCAGGAGGTAACTAGGGTTAGGTGAAGTCATGAGAATGGGATCCCCATAGGCTATTAGTGGCTTTTTAGAAAGAGGAGAGACTTGACCTAACACACTCTGTTTTGCTAGATGATGCTCTCCACTAGGATACCATGCAGCAAGGTGTCCCCACAAGATGCCAGTACCATACAGCACCTGGATTTCTCAGTCCCCAGAACTAAATAAGCTGTGTTCTTTAGCAATATCCAGCCTGTGATACTCAGTTATAACAACGTGCAATGGTCTAAGACAGAAGCCCAGAAACCTTCCCAAGACCTCACCAGTTACAAATGGTGGAAATGGGGCATCTCCAGACCATGGCCTGTATCCTCATCTTCCTCCCACCTGGAGGTTCTCCGGTAACCCTCTCTGTCCTTGTGCCCCACAAGACTGCTGCTTATAACCACTCCCTTCTACAGTTTGGTTACACCCAGCAGCTTTTTCCCTCCCCTGAGCAGCCACAGCACCTATCTAACTGCATACACTTTACTCTTTTTGTGATGTTCCTACAGTATTTATCCCTAAATGTTCATGCTCCTGATGGGCTGATTCCCCAAGGTCTAGAACAAAATCACATTTCTCTTTGCATTTCTCTACAGCTTTAAGGCCTCACGGGGGCAACCTCTTTAAGCATTTGCTGGGTAAGTGTATGGACCACAAACAAGAACTCATTCATCCATTTAACAATTACTAAGTGAGCTTCTGCTGTATTCTATGGTACTGCCAGGTTCTAAAAATACTAAGGCAGGCAAAAAGCAGTCAGCTTTCCTTTTTCAGGATCTGTGGAAGACCAGTGGACATGGAGAGTTAGTGGAACAATCACTTGAATGAATACAGTGGGCTGTGTGGTATGTTAGCAACACTAGTGGGTATGTTACAATATTAGGAAATACAGCTGGCTGGGCTCTGTGGGAGACTAGAGGCCACACAGACAAAAAGAGAGGGGAAGCCTGACATGTAGCCAAGCTTTTAATCCCAGAACAGGCTGATCTCTGTGAGTTAAGGCCGGCTTGGTCTATTTAGCAAGTTCCAGACCAACCAGGGCTATACAGTGAGACAGGGGGTCGTGACTCCTGACTGGGACAGCAGCATGTGCCAAACCCCATTTTAAGAGCCTCTATGATCCAAAGCAGCTAGGAACGAAAATTCCCGAATAAGCTATGTCTGGGTGTGAACAACAACAACAAAAATCTCCTGGAAGGAGTCTGTCTGCATAGACTGATAGACAATTGAAATTTCAGTCCTGTGGGGAGACTGGAATTTGGTAAGTTCACAGGTGAATTACTTTATCTGGGGCAGGTTTTAGCTTCTGGAACAGCCATTTCTTGCTTCACTCTGTAGCTGAACTATAACACCTTGTGATAATAAATAAAAAACCACTTAGAAGCGATTAGAAGCAGAACACTAGCTTCCACCAATCCAAGAGCTAAGAATGTTGTCAGACAGCATCTTAGGTCTATAAAAGGTTCCCCATCTCGATGTATCTGTCTCTCTGGTGTGCCCACCAATATACTTTATAGCTGCCTAGATTTATGGCTATCTTTGTTCTGTAAAACTATATAAAAAAAAAACAAACATGAAACTGCATCTGCATTGGAATGTGGAGTTTGACTGGGGTAACCTAAATCTGTGCTCCCAGGCCATGGCCACTCAGAATGGCTCCAGAATAAACTATTGATTATTCCCTTTAAGATGTGAGCTGTGGCTTTTATGTTGATAGCCATGGGGCTAGAGGTGCCGTGGGAGGGGTAAGGTAAAGCCTGAGAGGTCAGTGGGCCGGTTTAGGCACCAGTTTGTGGGTATAGGGGACCCTGACTTCATCTCAAAGACACAGAGAAACCATCCAGGCTTCTGTGGTGGAGATGTAGATGATATGATGGCTTATGTGGAGAAGGTGGGGCTAGGGATTGACGGCAGATACAATAATCATGTTAAAAGGGAGACTTCATGGTTCTTCTTCCTGGCTGCAGGAAAGCCAGGAGCACTTCTGCCTGCAAGGGCATCTTGCCAGGCCTGCTGCCAGAGGACTGTTGACAGTAAATAGAAGAAGGATTGGGAGAAGCTGAGGAGCTAATGCCTTAGGGGAGGGTTCTCCTCGCTCTTCTGAAAGGAGTAGTATGGAGTAGAGATGTGGGGGCAGGACACTGGGCATATGGGGTGAGCCTGAGTGGTGAACTTGCTTAGACTTATTTTCTAAAAGAAAAGCTCTCTCAGCTCAGAGAGAAAGGATGTAGCTACAGCCTGAGGTCAGAGGTTAACCCAAAAGGCTCTCACTAGTCATCAGTGTCAAAGACTCTAGGCATTCCCTACCTATTGTTTGCCTCAGGATCCCTGGGAAAACCTATAAGCAACCCCCCTTTCCCCTCTACAGTCCGTCCTTCTGGGACAAGAGAACATGGTGTGGTAGAAAAAATGGGATCACATGGAAATGTCAGCCTTCCCTACAGCAGGCCCTTAGCATCTCTCAAACTCTGTGGAACAAGAGTAGCAGGTAACATAACTGGAGGAAGCAGGCTGGGAAGGGACTGTGGGGACCATGGAAGGTACACACGATCTGCTATCAGCCTCTGGTATACTGTGGCCCTCTGGGAGTGTGGGGAGAACTTTGTCAGAGCATGCTGTTTTTGAAGAACATCCAGAGATCTGGAATGTTCTGTGGAATTTGCCAATATGGACTACAATTTGGTAAATGTGTGCTTAAAGTTTGTATGAGTCAAAGCAAATCTCTTTGGAGGGCTCTCCCTGGCCCACTGCTGCAATGGGGAGACCCTGGATTCCTCTGAACCCTCTTCCTTGGCCTGTGAGAAGGATAATGGGTTGTAGGTGGGATCACAATTGTTACTGTTTTGTGGGCAGATCTTAGACTTATCTGCAATAAGTGCTGTCATAGTTAGCTTTAGTTGTTGACCTGGCACAGCTTAGAGTCATTTGAAAGAACATCCTCAACTGAGGAATTGCCTATTGGCCTATGTGCATGTCTGGGGAGAGTTTGTTTGACAGATACTTGATGCACAAAGACCCAACCCACTATGGATGGCACCATTCCCTAGGCAGACTGTCCTGGTCTGCATAAGAAAGCTAGGTAAGCATGAGTCTGTGAGCCAGCCAGCCAGTAGGCAGCATTCCTCCTGTTTCCTGCCTTGGGTTCCTACCTGACTTCCCTCAGTGATAGACTACACCTGGAAGTATAAGCCAATAAAACATATTTATTGAATAAGCCCTTTCCTCCCCTAAGTTGTTTCTGATCATAATGGTTTTTTGTTTTGTTTTGTTTTGTTTTTTTTACCACAGCAACAGAAAGAAAATACAGCAAAAGCTAATTGTGGCTCTGGCTGTGACTGTGACATGGGGGAAGAGTCAGTTTGAGAGCATTTGAAGAACTGAACTAATATCAGCTTGACTTCTGGGCCACCTGTTGAATCCCAGGGAAGAAAGATTTCAATAAGTTCCCATTGTATTGTGGAGACAGACATTGTTGGAAAGTATATCATCTTTGGCACTTATGAGAATACTATGCTTGTGTTGTTAAAACATACTTTTCTGAGTCCTCCCTCAGAATATGGATTTAGCAGATCTAGGGAGGGGCCTGAGAATTGGAATTTCCTACCTGTCTGCAGGTGATGCTGATGCTGCCCCAGGAACACTCCAAAGAACCACCTTGTAGATTTATATATCCTGTCCATCCAGCTTTCTGGGCCTCACCTGTGAATGGATGAATGACGAAGTACCCCATGTGGTTCCCACTGGTGAGGTTGAAGGTCAGCTTCCCTTGAGAGCTGGAGTCTGGGTCCCAGGCCTCCAGCTGAAGCACAGAGGTACCCAAAGGGACATCTTCCTGGACACAGGGGTAGAACACCGGTCGAGACATGCAGGGTATGTTGTCATTGATGTCCGTAACCTCAATGTAGACTTCAGTGACAGCAGAGAGGGGAACAGAGCCCCTGTCCACAGCCAGTACTGTCAACCAGTAGTAGGGTGTGAATTCTCGGTCCAGAGGTACCAGAGTCTCGAGCATTCCTGGGGACAGCAAGTGACAAAACTCAATATACTCAGATCTCAGAGAGGTTTTTAACCACCCTACCTGGGCTGGGGAGATGCCTCTGTGAAATCCCTGCTGTACAAGTATGAAGACCTGAGTTCAGATCTCTAACACCCACATAAGAGCTGTGTATGATGGAGTGCGCCCCAAACCCCAGCACTTGGTTGATAGAGGCAGAAGAGTCTGGGGCTTGTTGTCTGCCAATCTAACTGAATCAGTGAGCCTTCATGTTCCTTAACAGACTGTCTCAAATAGTTAAGTGGAGATCAACAGAGGATGAAACCTAACATCAACCTCTGGCCTCTATGTGCCTGCCCACATGTCTATGGGCACATTCACACATGTATACACAATGCACCCACACATGAACATGTATTCAGATATACATACACAGATACACACACACACACACACACACACACACACACACACTGAATAAAAATCACCCTAATAGGTATTATGGAAAGGATGTTGACAGGCAACCCAGGTGAAAGAGGATAGGGCTGTCAATATGAGGTAGGAGATGCTGAGTTGGACATGGCAGGAGGTGGGGGGGAGATTAATGTAGGACTTCTCAACCTTTCTCAACTAAAACAGCCCCTGTTTCTGGCATGCAGACATATACAAGGCTTGCAGAGACAGTGGAAGTTTATCAGCTTCTCTCAACTCCTTCAACCCAAGTTCCAGCTAGTCACCTCACAGTCTGTAAGTGGGATGTCCTACAGTTGGCCTTAACCTGAACCTGATAGTCTTGCAGTCCTGGTGGAGCCTCACATTAAAGGTTAGAGGTTTGAGGGATACACTTCTGCCCTCCACTTCATCATGGTTTTAGGGACTTAGCTCCATTCTTTAGTTCATTCAGTCTAAAAACTGCCTATGAGGGCCAGCCCTGTTCTAGAACATGAGGCTCTAACGTTGGGCACAAGAAGCGTGTACCTTAAGTTCTGGCTGGTCACTCTCAGCTGACAGGCTCTGCATGAGGGGGCAGAGCAGAGATTCACAATCAGAGCAGAGCAGGCCAGAGGTGACAAATGGAGAAACTGAGGCCCAGATAGGGAGTGCAAATTTGGTCAAATTATATAACAAGGAAGAGGAAGAGCTGGGGCTGAGCATGGTGCACACTGTTAATATCTCAGCACTTGGGAAGTAGAGGCAGGTAAATCTTTGTGAGATTAGGGCCAGCCTAGTCTAAATAGAGAGTTCCAGATCATCCAGGGATATGCAGAAAAAGCCCTGGAGAGAGAAAGAGAAGAAGGGTGAGGGAAGGAAGAAGGAAGAAAAGGAGGAGGAGGAAAGAAAGATTGAGAGAGCTGGAGTCTACTAAATGGAATACTCTTTTTTTTAATACTCTTCCCACAACACTACCTTGTCTTTCACCCTGGAAACAAACTATGATTCCAGACCATAAAACAGATTATAGAGCCGGGCAGTGGTGGCGCACGCCTTTAATCCCAGCACTCGGCAGGCTTAGGCAGGTGGATCTCTCTGAGTTCGAGACCAGCCTGGTCTACAGAGCTAGTTCCAGGACAGCCTCCAAAGCCACAGGGAAACCCTGTCTCGAAAAAACGAAAAAAAAAAAAAAGATATATTACAGAACCATAGTAGTAAAACAATATGGTATTGGCACAAAAGCAGACATGTAAGCCAAAGAAACAACATCAAAGACACAACCATGAATACATGTAACTTTAGATATTTAATATTTGACAAAAATGCCAAAAACATATGCTAGAGAAAAGAAATCATCTTCAATGAATGGTACTGGGAAAACTGGGGGTGGGGGTCCAGATGCAAAGGAATGAAATTACACCTGTGTCTATTACCCTGCACAAAAACTAACTCCAAAACCTAAATTTGAAACCTGAAACTCTGAAACCATCAGAAGAAAGCATCGGCAGTACCTATAGGGTACAGGTGTAGGACAGGACTTCCCAAATTAAGACCAACAACTGACAAGTGGGACTTCATAAACTACAAAGATTTTGCACAGCTAAACAAACCATCAACAAGGTGAAGAGGAAACCCACAGAATGGAAGAGAATCTTTGCCAGCTATACATCTGACAGAGGATTAATATCCAGAATATATAAACAACTCAAAAAAAAGAAAAAAGCAAAAAGAAGATGAACAAGAAGAAGACAAGAAATATCTCAAAAAAATATTTATCAAGAGGAATCTGAAGTGGCTGAAAGACACTTGAGAAAGTGCTCAAAATCCTTGGCCATCAGAGAAATGCAACTCAAAACAACTCTGAGATACCATCTTACACCAGCCAGAATGGCTAAAATCAAAAACACCAATGACAATCTATGCTGGAGAGGATGTGGAAAAAAAGGAACACTCCTTCATTGCTGGTGGGAGTGCAAACTTGTAAGACCACTTTGGGAATCAGTATGGTGGTTGCTCAGAAAAATGGTAATCAGTGTACCTCAAGATCCAGTAATTCCTTTCTTAGGCATATACCCAAATAATTCACGTTCATACAACAAGGACATATGTTCAACCATGTTCATAGCAGCATTGTTTGGAATAGCCAGAAACTGGAAGCAACCTACATGTCCCTCACCTGAAGAATGGATAGATAAAATGTGGTACATTTACACAATGGAGTACTACTCAGCAGAAAAAAAGCTATTGAAATTCGTAGGCAAATGGATGGAACTAGAAGAAACCATGCTGAGTGAGGTAACCCAGTCACAAAAAGATAAACATGGTATGTACTCACTCATATATGAGGTTTAGACATAGAGCAAAGGATTACCAGCCTACAGTCTTCTTCACCAAAGACACTGGGAAACAAGGAAGGACTCTAAGGGAAGAATGCATGGACCCCAGGAATGGGAAGGGGCAGGATCTCCTGACCTAATTGGGAGCATGAAGGTAGGGGAGAGGGAGCTGCCAGAATTAGAGAAGTAGAGGGGAGAGGAGGAAATGGAGTAGCAGAAATGTTGGGTTGGGGAAAGAATAGAGGAGAGCAGGATGACACCATACCAGAGGGAGCCATTGTAGGTCTGAGGAGAGATCTGGCACTAGGGAGATTTCCAGAGACCTACAAGGATGACACGAACTGACAATCCAGGCAATGGTGGAGAGGATAGCCTAAATACCCTTCCCCTATAATGAGACTGATGACTACTTTCTATGCCATCCTAGAGCCCTCATCCAGTAGCTGATGGAAGCAGAGGCAGACACCCACAGATATACACTGAACTGAACTCTGGAACCTAGTTGCAGAGAGGGAGGAATGAAGATCAAAGAGGTCAATACCAGGCTGGTGAAACCCACAGAAACAACTGGCCTGAACAAGGAAGAGCACATCGACCCCAGACAGCTGTCTGGGAGGCCAGCACGGAACTGATCCAGACCCCTGAACATGGATGTCAATGAGCAGGCCTCTGCACTCTAGGGGGCCCCAGTAGTGGATTAGTATTCTTCCCTGGTGTAAGAAGGGACTTTGAGAGCCCATCCCACGTCTTGT